TCATTCCTTTTTTATATTTATTATATTCATAACAGTACATAAACACAAGATGGAAAGGAGGAGAACCAAGTACCCTCCACAGAGTCTTGTCATGCAATAAACCCCAAGCTGACCAGGGTGGAGATCCGAACCCACAGTGGGCTATGTGGTTTCCAGCACTGCAGTTCCACATACTACCGTGTATACCACCAAGCTGGCCCTTGTTCTTTATTATTTCTCTGAGATGTATCCAATCCAATCCGTGGGTGCTATGAATTAGCTAAACCTACCAGCCACTTGACAACTTCTTCCTTTTTATTTCAGTCATTACTGAGTTTTCAATTTAAATAGGATGTTTTTACATATTCAAATAGTTTTCAGCATATTTAAAAATAATATGTTGCCCTAGTCAAAGTGGTACAAATAGGAGGAAGCCACTGCTCAATGGCTCAGGTCATGTGAGAGGTCAAAATTCAGCTTATAGCCCAACTTAAATAGTCGGGCACGGTGGTGTACACCTGTGGTCCCAGTTAACTGAAAGGATGGGGCAGGAAGATGGGAATGTAGTGAGACACTGTCAAAAATACCTGTCTCTATCTCCTCCTTCCTCCTCTCCTGTTCTTTTTGTCATCAAAAAAAAAAAAAAAAAGCTTACAAAAATTAGTAACGTTATTTCAAGATTTTAAGTCATTTCTGTTAAAGATGATCATGTAGAAAACAGTCTAAAAAGGAACCTAAAAGTTGGCAAATTGAGGCTGGCAGGTGGCGTGGTGATTAAGGATGCTAGAATCCCACATGGCTGACCACAGTTCGAGTTCCGGACCTATTGGCTTGCTTTCTTGCTTTCCTCTTCTGTTTGTCTCTGCTAAAAATTTTACAATAATAACGAATAGAATAAATAATTTTTTTAAAAAAAGTTGGCAAATTATACTAATGTGTTCTTTTATTTTCCTACAAAATCAAGTATTCATATCAAATTTAAACTTGGCACAGACAGACTGCTTTAGTAACCAACTAAATAGATAACAGACACAGACTACAGTTCCTTTTCATAAGTGGTTTAATTCATCTGGTTGATAAAACAGTGGGTGAGCAGATTCAGAGAAACACAGAGACAGGAAGTAAAAAAAAAATCACCCCCCAGGGGAGATGGTCACACTGTAATCCCTTCTCCTCTCAGGACTTTGGGCACACGCCAGCGTGAGTTTTAAGCCGCCGGGCAGGGACACAAACACCGATCAACTACATGGGAGTCCAGTGACATAACCATTACACCATCTGCTGGTCCTGCAGATTCATTTCTTAAGTGATTCTTGCTTCAAAAATCAGGTCCTCGGGAACCAGCAGTTAGTGTAATGGCTCTGTCGCTGGATTCCCACGTAGTCGATCATGGTTCGCGTCCCGGACCCGGGGGCTTAAATCTTACGCCGGGAACGTGTGCGTGCGTGCCCAAGATCCCGAGAGAAGAATGGCGGAGAAGGGATTGCGGCGTGACCATCCCTCCTGAAGGGCGATTTCTCGCTTTCTGTCTCTATGTCTCTCTCTGTCTGTCTGGCGAGCGCACGCGCCCTATAGCAAAAAATCTCTCAAAAAAAAAAAAAAACAGGTCCTAATGTACATCAATCCTAAAACCCTACATATTTTCCAAAACCGAAAATTTCCCAAGACCAGAGTAATGCTAGAACATGATTCTAAGATAATTTAAGCTATAATAAAATAATTCAGACAGTGGGCTAGCAGGCGGCATGGAGATCAAGGTACTGGCTCCCACATGGCAAACCAGGCTGTTTGAGTCTCGGATCTAGTGGCTTGAAAAACACACAGTGTGCATGTGAGTGCATGACCAAAATCCCAAAAGGGGAATAGAGAAAAGGGACTGCATCATGACCATTCCTCTGGGAGTGATTTCCAACTCTCTCTCTCTCGCTCTCTGTGTCTCTGTCTCTCAGTGCTGAGTACACATGCCTCATGGCAAAAGTCTTAAAACTAAAGCAAAATAATTTAGACAGTTAAGAAATGTTAACAAATATGCATTATTAGACTTAAACTAATGAAGCTAATTGTTACCAATAAAATTAAATCAAACTTACTCATAAATTGCACAGGCTTCTTTGCAAGAAAAGTTTCCACTCACACTTCTTCCCCCATCTAAACCCACTCTATTGACGTTTTCTAAAAGGAAGCTTTTCTAAGAAAAAAATAACTGCCAACTTTTTAACATTCTGTGCTTTTGTTATCATTTACCATGACTGATCATACAAAAAGAATTGATAAAAAGGAATGCTTAGCATAGAACTCAGTGCTTCCTTTCCATAGGATCCCAGCAATACTGCAATATTATTTCTCTAAAGGCTTTACCTGGAGACTGGGATGACAGCCAAAGTCCAATAAAGTCTTCACAACTTGAAGATGACCTTTATTGACAGCAATATGAAGTGGTGTCTGTCGGCGCTTGTTGCGAGCGTTCAAATCAGCACTGCCCCGGTGTAGGACTTCTATCACAGCACCTTCATCCCCAAACGCTGCATGATGGACTGCTCTATCTCCATCTTTATCCTAAATGTTAGCATTTAAATCTGAATTAGTAAATATTTTAGGAAAAATAAATAAATTAATAACCAGCAAAGGGCCAAGTAGTGGCACAGTGGTAACACGACTGGGCCCCCATGAGAAAGATCTTGGGTTCAGATTCTCAAACCTCCTTGAGCACACCTGGTATGCACACATGTACCCATAATTCAGGCCGCTTAGGACTAAGGGATGGGAATGCATCATAGGGATCCTGCTGGAGTGGCTAGTCTGTCTCCCTCTCTCTTATGGACAAAATACATAAGTGAACTTTTAAAAAAACAAGTGTGATCTCCATTAGCTTTAAGAGAGTGAAATATATCGTTTTACTATGGATAGAACTACATGGTGAGCACGCACTTTTATACATATTCAAAAAAAGGAAAAAATTTAAATAATGCCTTTAACAGATCAAAATGCTGCAGTCAAATCAGCAAAATTTGACATATCCAAAATTCTGAAACTACTTCAGAGGAATCAATAGATTTATCTCACCTTCTGTAATAGGCAAACTTCTGAAGAAATGAGAGAGTGGGGAAAATCCTTTTTTTTTTTTTTAAATTCAAGAAGAAACTTTTTTTTTTTTTCGAGAGGCTTTTTGCTATAGGGTGCGTGCGCTCACCAGAAAGAGAGAGACAGAGAGACAGAAAGCGAGAAATCACCCCCCCAGGGGGGGATGGCCACACCGCAATCCTCAAGAAGAAACTATTCTTTAAAGAAAAAAAAAAAAATGTCTGAACTAAAGTTCATATAGTTCACATCAAAAAAGGAGTCTCACACCAGCAGGTGGCGTGGTGGTTAAGGCACTGGACTCCCACATGGCTGACTGAGGTTGGAGTTCCGGACCCAGTGGCTCAAAAATCACACCAGGCACATGTACGTACATGCCCAAAATCCTAGGAAGAGAATGGAGGAGAGGGACTGCAGCATGGCATCCCCCCTCAGGAGTGATTTCTCACTTTCTCGATCCCTCTATATCTGGTGAGTGCAAAAACCTTAAAAAAAAAAAAAAAAAAAAAAAAAAAGTCTCATTATGTTCCCAGATGCAGATAGAAAAGGGCATTATCAGGGTACTGTCTTTATGCCAATACCACTGAGTTGTCCAAAAAGTCATACGCATTTTTCTATGCAAAAATGTGTTGTGAGTTTTCCAATGACCCAATATATTCCAAGAGTTGATACCCACCAGAAAGCATACCCTAAGACTATCTCCAGAGCAGTGGATCCTACTCCACCTGTGTCAGCCCCTAATGGACAGCCTAGTATTGCAAAGGTTTTGAAAACCCATATGATATGCAAGATTCTCTCAATTACTTTCCTTCCTTCCTTTTTTTTTAAAGAAGTTTTTGCCTTAGGATGAAAGTAAAAGAGAGAGAAACAGTGAGAGGGAAAGTGAGAAATCACCCACCAGAGGGGATGGCCATGTTGCAAACCCTTCTCCATTATCCTCCTGGGATACTGGGCACGCACACACACACACACCCAGCATGAGTTTCAAGCCACAGGGCCGGGATTCGAACTGTGGTCAGCTATATGGGAATCCAGGATATAACTGCTACACCATCTGCTGGCTACTCAACTACTTTTCAAAGATAACTCAGATAAATACTGTCATAATTAAATACATTTACAACAAGCAGTGTGTTCTGAAGAGTTACTGAATTTTAAAAGTTGTTTTGGTCTTTGCATATTTTCTTGAACAGATATTAAAGATAAAGTCACTTAAAATAGGAATTCATGACAAATTGATGACCATTCTGAACAAAGTAGGAAATGATGACTCAGGGAAATTTCTCCCTTACTAATAATTCCGGTTGAAACAGGAGGAACAGAGGAACTTTTATTACCTATCAATTGTGAAAAGAAATTTAAGATACAAACACTTGTGCCTCTGAGCAGCATCATATTTAAACATCCCAGAAAAAGCAGCATTTTAGGGCCAGCAGGTACAGCTGGATGCCACACAGTCGACTGCATGATCTGAGTCCCAAACTTGGCCACTTGACATCACATCAGGCATGTGTATGTATGTCTAAAATCTCAAGAGGAGAATAGAGAAAAGATGGCAACATGGCCATCTCTCCTGGGAGGTGCTTTCTCATTTTCCCAACCCTTCTTTCTCCTTTTCTCTCTCTCTCTCTCTTTTTCTCTCTCTCTGAAAACGCACCCACCATACAGCAAAACTTGGGGAAAAAAAGCATTCTAAAGAAGGATTTTAACCTTTTGGGGCTGGTCTCTTAGCCTGGTGTGGGAAGCTAGATCCTACTAGATCCCATGTGGCCCAGTTCAAATCCCACGCCAGCAGCTTGAAAACATACCAGGCATGCCTGCCTAAAAATCCCAACAGGATAGAGAAATGGAAAAGAAAGAACTGCGACATGACCACACCCCACCTGGGTGGGATGCCTTCTCCCTCTCCTTCTCTGTCTCTGATGAGCACATGCATACTCTATCAACTAAAAAAAAAATGTTAAATTAACTTCTCTAGTAACACATTTTAATATTTCATAATCTTGGGACCAGCAGATGATGTAATAGTTACGTCACTGGACTTCTACATAGTCGACTGCAGTTCCAGTTCTGAACCCAGAAGCTTAAAACTCACACCAGGCATGTATGTGTACGTGCCCAAAATCCTGAGAGGAGAATGGAGAAGAAGGGATTGCAAGGTGGCCCTTCAGGGGCTGAATTCTCCCTTTCTGTCTCTCTGTCTCTGTCTCTCCAGCAAGCATACGTGCCCTATGGCAAAAAAAAAAATCTCTCAAAAAAAAAAAAAAAATTCAGGAACCAGCAGATGGCATAATGGCTATGTCTCTGAACTCCCACGTGGTCAACCGTGGTTCTAGTACTGGAACCGGCAGCTTAAACTTACACCAGGTGCACGTGCATACATGCTCAAGATCCCAAGAGGAGAATGAAGGAGAAGGAACTGTGGTGTGGCCATCCCTCCTGGGGAGTGATTTCCTGCTTTCTGTCTCTCTGTCTTGCTCTGTCTTTCTGGAGAGCGCACTATGGAAAAACCCCCTCAAAAAAAAAAAAAAAAATTTTTTTTTTTCATAATCTTAAAGTTAACAAGATCTTCCTAACCGCCAATCTGGGTAGGTTTTTTTCTGTTACTATTTTTTTTTAAGAATTATTTCTTTAGTTCCATCTGTTATTATCATTTCTCAACTTGACCAGAGAGAGAGAGAGAAAGGG